AAGAATGTGAGTAATGGCATTAAGTAAAGTTACTTTTTTTTAAATTTGAGAGAGTGATTGGGTTTGGGCTTTTGGGATGGTTTTTACCCTCATGTGTTTTTGAGCTTCATAAATGGGAGTTCCTTTAAGCTCTGGTGAAATCAAGGGGCCCAGTAGTGCCTGGAGAAGAGGGACCCACATTGGGATGAACAGCTGACTCCAGACTCCAGTCTCTCTGGACTCCACCGCACAGACCAGCACACTCTCTCTGTGGTGGGCCAGACAGTAAGTATTTGAGGCTTTGAGAGCCAGACACACTCAACCCTGTTTTTGCAGCACAAAAGCAGCCATAGGTCAACAAATGCGTGTGGCTGTGTTTCAATAAAACTTTATTTATGGACACTGAATTTTGAACTTCAAGTAATTTTTAAGTGTCATATTTTTTAAGTGTCAAATATTACTTTTATTTATTTTTTCTAACTATTTAAAAAGCATTCCTTATCACGAGAGTACAGACACAGGAAGCTGGCTGGAGTTGGCTTGTGGACCCTCGTTTGTCCATCTTGCTCTGGTGGGAAGGGGTTGAGGAAAAGTTCTCCATTGTGCCCCCTGTGCAACTTCAGACAGGTTGCTGGAGTTCTGTGCGCCTCTACTTCTCTTTCCATAACATGGGAATATGAACAGTCCCTAGCTTGGAAGATTCAAGGAGATAATCCATTGAAGGTGTTTAGAACAGAGAAGACCTCACTAAGTATTGGCTTTATTTTGCCAACCATCATAGTTAAAACCATCATAGTTAATGGTTATTGTTGGGGCTGATGCTGTACCCGGGGTGTAGGAGAATGCAAAATCCCAACAACAGCCTGACACATTGGTTTCTTCCGGAGCAGCAGTGATTTTGAGGGATTATGGGGTTCCCTGGGCCCATCTCTTGGTCCTTGCAATCTGCTAATTTTAGAGGAGAAGCGTTTAGAGTTGGAAGGGCTCTAGGAGGCCTTCCAGTGCAACGTCCTGTCCAAGGTGAGACTCTCCCTGTAGCCACCATTACAGGGTCATCACTAGTAAATGAGACTCCAACTGCATCCAATCTGTTAAAGGATCTGGGGAGGCCCTGGGCTACCTCCTTCATCTAGTCAACCTTTCTGTCCCTGGGCTTCAAGACCCTCTTTCCTGACACTCTCCCCTGCAGCTGGCTGATTTCACGTGTCCCTCCTTCCTTCTCCATGTCCTCCTCCATCGCCACGGAACACTTGATGTGAGGTCTGTGGAATCAGGTGACAGGTCCCCGGCGTTCTTGTGTCCCAAGCACCTAGCTCATGCAAGCATCCAACCAGGGTTTGTAGACGTGAATTGTACCCTTGTTCCCACACTTGGTTCTCATCCACAGACTCACTCATCTCCCGTCACTGTCACTTCCTCTGGACTCTCTCCAAGTGGCGGATGCTTCTGGCTGCTACAACATCCTAACCCACACCGGCCCAGGGCCCGCAGCGCTCAGCTCCACACCAGCAATGGAAGTGGCTTATGCAAAGTGCCCAGGAACAGGACCGGGAGCAGCCAGCCTGCAGAGGGAGCTTCGGTGGGAACTGTGCCACCCCGGGGGAGTGTTTATCTGGGCAGGCAGGAAGCGGGGAACTCAGAGGGTAACAGAGCCAGAGCCCAGTGAGGTAAGCACAGAGGAACGAAGTGAAATTTTCCATTCTCATTCAGCCATGAGTGAAGTTGTGAGGAGTCAGGGCAGCTGCTACGAATTGGAACTGATTTCAGGGGTACATCTCTTCGCCAATCTGGGCCTTTATTTCCCCATATGTTCTTCCTTTAGCTTCCATAAGACTTCAACAAATGCAATCACAGAAAAAAATTATCTGAAGCCTGTGTGGCATATTTTTGTTCATTTATTTAACAAACACCCAATAATACATATTATGTCAGGTACCATTCTAAGAACTTTATATATAACCATGACACAATGCCGCCTCATTCATTTATTCATTCATTCACTACAAAAAATTTGGATATATTTTGTGAAACAACATTGTGCTAGAAATAAAAAGGCATATGATACGTTTTTTTTTTTTTCTCTCATGGGTTTACTGGGAGAGACAGACAAGGAAATCAGCAACACAATGCCTGTGCTAATGGCACACACAGCCCATGTCATTTGTCCTGGGGGCTAGGAGGAATGGCATGTAACAGCCCCAAGTAGGTGGTCTTAAACTGTGTCTTGAAAGGGGCGTGAGGAGGGGGCAATGCCGCAGGAATGGCCTGTGCCCAGCTTTGAGAGTCAGACTGCCCCTGCAGGGGGTTGCAGGCCACATTCCACAGTCCTAGAGCACAGGGGCGTGTTTCTGTGACTGAGGAGGGGTCTTGGGCTGCCTGGGCCACCCTAACAAAGTGCCACAGACTGGGGAGATCAAACAACAGGCATTTATTTGCTCACAGCTCTGGAGACTGGAAGTCCCAGTTCAAGGTCAAGGTGTCGGCAGTTTAAGTTTCTCCCGAGGCCTCCATCCTTTGTTTATAGATGGCTGCCTTCTCGTCCTGTCCCATACGGTCCTCCTTCTGGGCAAGCATGTCGGGTGTCCTTCCTCTGCTTAAAAGGACACCAGGCATGTTGGATGAGGCCCCACCCTAAAGGCCTCATTTTAATTTAGTTACTTCTTTAAAGGCCCTATCTCCAAATACACTGACATGTTAGTCCCGGGGGTTTACGTTTCTGCATATGAATCTTGGGGGGCACAATTCTGCCCATAAACCATAAGGGAGAGGGGCTGGCATGGTGGCGACTGAAATAGTTCAGGGGAAATGGGATGCAAGGTTAGTGGACAACAGCAGTGGGTGGAACAAATCAAGAGATTCCTGAGACTTGTAGGAGAGCCTGCAGGTTGAGGCATCAGCTGGCTGGGGTAGGGGAGGGAGGGAGAGGGTGCCACCGAGCATGACGTCCACGTGCTGAGCGGAAGGATGCTGACGCTCCTTGGGGCCAGGAGCACGGGAGGCGGAGCACAACTGGAGGGGAAGGAGGAGTTAGAGGAGCTGTGGGAAATCACCACGAGGGTTTCCTAGGGAGCTGGATACATCAGCCTGAGAATCTGAAAAGAGGTCTGGCCTGAGCTAGAGATGGGAGAATCATCAGCATTCTACGGGGTCATTGAAGCCAAGGAATTGGACCAAGCCACCCAGGGAATGGGAAGGTGGCCAGGGGCAGAATTCTGGGACTCAGAAAAAGGAGCAGCCTGAGAAGTGGGAGGAAGGCCAGGAAAAGGCGGGGAGCTGGCACTGACTGAATGACACCTACTGTGTGCCAGGCACTGCAATAGATGCTCTGCTAGCATCTCATTCACCTCTTAAAGAAAGTGCCTACTGTGGGCATAAAGCAAACACTGAAAGAGAACCTACTGTGTGCCAGGCACTGCTCAGAGTACTGTGCAGTGGCTCACCGATCCCTCATGGAGCCCGGCTATTCATACACAAGGAGCTGAAGTTCACAGGAGTGGCGTGCTTCAAGACTGCAGCGTTAGACTTGGGGCTGGGACCCAGGAAACAAGGCACTGAATCCGAGCTCCTAGCCACGTTGTTACTTTACCTTGTCCTATATGGCACTTGCTTTATAGATGAGAATGTTAAGGATGAGAGAGTTTTAAAAAGTTGCTCAAGATGACATGGCCAGTCAGCACCAGAGCCAGGTTTTAAACAAAAACCTTTGCCCTCTCTGCCGTACTGTCAACTTCTTCACAGACTCAGGGAGACTTGCAGGGACAAGTGTGGTCTGGAGCCATCAGCACAGAAAGCTCTTACATTGGCCACACGGGGGCCATTGGGGACTGGGTAAGGTCAGTTTTGGTGGTGTGACAGGGCAGAAGTCAGGTTGTAAAGTCTGAGGAGTGCATGAAAAGCAAGGGATTTTGTTGACTCTTTCAGGGAGTTGGACTAGAGAGGAAGAAAGATGGGAAAGCAGCTAAAAAAGACAAGAGGGATGTAAAAACGTTTGCAAAATCATTTTTTGTTGAAGAGGGAGAAACCTGCAGATGGTTGATGGAGAACTGGTTTTCAACCTGCTGGGAGTTTGGCTAATTTGAATCAGGAGTTTGGAGTCTGACTAACTTGGGACCTCCCAAAACCGAAAAACTGAGCCGGTAAGCTGGTGATGTCACCAAAGCACAGTCACTCCCATGGGTCACATGAGGATGGCAAGATCTTTATCTTGTTTTGTGTTAACTGCAAACATAGCCACAGACTCAGCAACAGGTAATTGCTCTGCTAAATTTGAATGGTAACATCACAGCTCAAGTGTTAGTTTCATTTGTAGTCTAAGAAATACAAATGTAAATAGAGACTGCATAACCCTAGTACCAAAGATTGAAAGCCATGGAAATTCACTCTGGTAGGAGGACAATTTGATCCGATTCTTTTGGAAAACAATGGTGCATGTTTTAAGAGCCTTACACATTGTCATATCATTTGTCTCAATAATTCCATTTCTGAGAGTCTGTATATGGAAACAAAGTGCATGGATGTTCATTGCAGCATTGTTTATAAAAAGGAAAACTGGAGACAATCTAAGTGTTCAGGAGTAAAGATATGTCTAGATAAACACAAGCACATCCCCTTGATGGAAAATAACCTAGTGGCTTAAAATACTCCTTACAAAAACAATTTTTGAATCATGATAAGCATATAATGTTGAATGAGAAAAGCAGAACAAACATTCCACAAAATAACACAACTGTGTAAATAAGCCAGTAATATAAAAAAGGCTGAAGATATCACAAGCGGTGATTATGTTTGCCTCATTGGTTCTTTGATAATGAAAAAGCTACTAAGCCTGGGACAATCTCTCTAGCTCTCCACTGATTAGCAGTAGCTTACATTACAGTGAATGCTATTTTTTTGGTTTACTTTTTTATATTGTTCTCAAGCCTCTTGGTAGTGCATAAGTTATCCATAAAGAAATGCAGGTGTTTTTACTGAAAATGCATCAAAAGAAACCTCTAGATAACACACCAGGAAAGCATCTTTAAAATTTTTTTATTATGCTTGACATCATTTTTCTATACAAAACAATACACACTCATTTGGAAATGCAAACAAAGTGTAAATCAGAGGACTATGGAGAAGCAAAGAGAAATCTCATTTAGTATTCTATTTAGACAATAAATGTTGATATTTTACTGTAAAGGAAACAGATTTTGATGGGACAGCTATGTTCATCTTAACCAAATGCATGTAACTCTGACATAAAACTGATGTTACAAGTTACCCTTCAACAAAGCCAAATATCCGCAGACAGTGCAGGCTTGAGGGCATTCAATGGTATCGAGCTCAGTCTATGTGGGCTTGGATGGGGCTCTGCTGAACCTGTCCTCACTGACTTTTCTAATCGGGAAAACAACTTTTGTACCTGTTGTTGTTGAGGGTGTACTCCATCAGATCACAAACACGCTGTAAGCAAAATATAACTAGACTTCAGCAACGAGTTGGGACATGGTGCGGGAAACTAGCTGTGCTGACCCTTGCATTCCTCCCTGATATTTGAGGATACGACCATCATCCTTTTGTCAACCTTAAACCTTAAACAACAAAGGTTATCAAGCAGAAAAAATGTTTATTTGGAATCACAGAAGAATTGCAATTCAGGACGTGCAAACTATGGCCAAGGGGTGGGCAAGCCTGGAGAACAAAGGAGAGGGGCTTGCTGTTATAGAGGAAAGGAGGACGTCGGGAGGGGTGGTTTTGAATGAAAGTTCTTTGGAAGAGTGCAAGAGCTCGGGGTTGTAGTGGCTTCTCACTGGCTGGGTTGTTGCTGGGCAAGGAAAACCCTGCTAGTATATGTAAAGTAAGTGGTGAAGAGTGGTACATTCATGAGAATTTCCTTCAGGTATTTCTAGCTCCGTCTTGAATGAGGTTTTGCTTGACTCATTTTTACACTCCATTCACTTCTAAATCTCCAGCAAACCACTGGCCTTGGGGCATAGCAGGTGCTCTGTTACATTTGTGGAAGTAAACTAGAGGCTTAGATTCAGCCTTATCACTAGCTAGATGCTCCTTTGAGCTAATGACTTTCAATTATTACCCCTGTCTTCTCTCCAAAATCCCCTACTCTCAGGTAAGTAGCTACCTCCTGCACTTCTCCACTTGACGTTCCGTAGTAGCTCAAAATCCACACTGTCTGGTCAGGTAGCAAAATGAGAGACTAAACATCTCTCTACATTTTTCTACCTTTATCTCACTTCTCCCTTTTCCACTTATTTGCTCATGAAATCCTGCTGAACTCTAGTTCAAAAATGTCCCAAATTCATCCTGTCATCTACGTTCCCACAGCTGCTGTGTGAATTAGTTCAGACTTCTATGGTATCTTACCTGGATTATGACATCAGTCTCGTACCTAATCTTTCTAACTTCAATTTTCAAAACATCTTCTATGTGGCCATAATCCAAGGTATCTATCTAAACTCAGGCATAAATATCACTTCCTTCCTTCAAAACATTCAAAGGCCTCCATTGCCTTAAGAATCCAAATTCTCAGACAATTCAGAAGGCCTGGTCACAATTTGGCTCCAACTGCCCTTTCTGGTCTCATTTCATATAAAACGCACCCCTCTCACCCTAAATAGGCATTGTCTGCTTTAGGCATATAAACATTTCCACTCTTCTCCAAATGGACCATAATTTCTCTCCTTGCATAGGTTGGTCTAGAATCTTCTCTTGATTGATGGTCTTCCTTCACCTGGGAGCTCCTACGCTGTGTTCAAACTCCAGCCCATTTGTCACCTTCTCTGGGCTTCCCAAGTAGAATCAGCCACTCCCTTGACCATGTATCTACTATAGCTCATACATCTATTACAGCATTCATGTTGATTAGGGTTTTGTTGGGCTTTGGTGGTGGTGATGGTGGTGGTGTTTTGGGTACCATCAGAGCTTCGGATGGTTCCTGGTGCACAGCAGGGACTATGTCAGTGCTTGAGGAGAGAATGAATGCCTGGGTGGGGTCTGATGGGTCTACCGCTGGTGCCACATCCCTGCCGGAGGACACAGCCCCAGCCTCTGGGTCTTCCTGGAGGCTCAGTCCACCCCACAACCACCCTCTGGGGTGCCCCTCAGGCTTCACTTTGTGAAAGATACCCCCACCCTCCCCACCCTACCTCTTGCTCTGGAGTTCTTGTTTCAGAGGCAGATTTTTCCTTCCTCCCCACGGAGGGTGGATTGAGTAGTGATCGGTGCACGCTGGGTGAATGAGATTTGTTCAGAGAGACTCAGTCAGTGATGGGGATCGATCCTGGGGCCCTCGGACGCATGTCTGAAGAAAGAAGAGAATGGAGCTCATTTATATTTGGGGATTATAAATGAGATATGACTGAAAGGCTCTTCCCAGTCAACTTCGTTAAACCGATGCACGGGTCCATGCTGGATGCCACCAAGACAAATGAAAGATATTCCCTAAATTCTACTCAACTTCTAGGATCTAGAAGGGCTGGCCTCTCCTCGCATCCACCCAGGTCTATCCCCGGCAGAGCTTTCCCTTCAGGGCACTGGAATTGCTGGGATGCTTTTCCTGCCCCAGTTAGACTTCAAGTTAGACAAGGCCGGGGCTTGAGTTCAGTTATTCCCATCTTCCCAGAACGTAGCTTATTGTCTGTCTCCTAGTAGATGTTGTGGAAGTAGCTTAATCTATTTAATGTTTAATTAAGTCGAATGAAGAAGTCCTCCTTTCTTGCCTCTGCAGACCACGCAGCTCAGCGAGCCCACCGAACGAGCGCACGGCTCGCACCGGGATGTCTGTAGGACTGGATACGTGAACACGCTCCGGCCCCAGGGAGCTCAACCTCCTGCGGAGGTAGGCGGGGAGCAGGGCTGCAGGCTGCCTCCACCGCGCCCCGCCGCGCACTGCGGCCCGTGCTCCACGACGGGGAGCAGGGAGGTGAACCCCAGGGGGATTCACGAAGACTTTATGGTGTGACAGGAGTATCCGTGGAATTTCTACACGGAAGGGAATCCGGGGAAGGAGGCAGGGCGAGAAAGGCTGGAAGGAAGGGAAACGTAGGGTGTGATCTGCGGCCAAAAGAAAGCAGAGAACCCAGGCCGGGACCGGCAGTTGGCAGCCCACCCTACCGTGGGCGGGGCGTGGACCTGGCGATCAGCGGTCCAGCCCTGGTCCCCGACCCTGGGCCCAGGTGCAGACGGCCCTCCCATCAGCGCGCAGAGCTGTGGTGTCTGGACCGGGGTGGAGGCCGCGCGCCCTCCTCTCCCACTCGCGGCCGGACAGGCACCCCGGGGCGGGCCATGCGCACCCCGCCCCCGGCAGCGCGGGCCAGGCTGGGGCGGGCCGGGCCCTGGGGGGTGGGGTGGCGGACCCGGGCGGGATGAGTAACCCTTGGCTGCGAGCAGCCGCGGCCGGGCGGGAGCGGGCCAAGTGCTCAGACAGTGATAACTGGGCCCGGAGCGTCTGGGGTCGTGCCCGCGGGCGGGAGGGGCGCGGCGGCCGCTCGCAGCCCAGATAAAAGGGCCGCGCGGCGCCGGGACCGCTTCCTCCGCGCTGTGCCTGCGGCGCTCCCCGCCGGCGAGCACCTGCACCGGGCCGCACCGAGGCGAGGCGACCGGAGCCACCGGGTGCCCGCCGGGGCCGGCAGGGGGAGGACGGAGTGCCGGGCCATGGCCGCGGCGACGTGCGCGCCGGCCGCCAGGCCCAGCCTCACCTCCGTCTCGTCCGGGGAGCTGCGCAGCCTGCGGACGTGCGACTGCGAGCTGGGCCTGCTGCCCCTGGAGCAGCTGCTGCGCCTGCAGCCGGGCGCCGTCCAGCTCCGCGGCGACCAGCTCGTGGTGCTCGGCCCCGGGGAGCCGGCGGCCACGCGTGGGGGCTTCAACGTCTTCGGAGACGGCCTCGTGCGCCTGGACGGGCAGCTCTACCGGCTCAGCAGCTACATCAAGAGGTGGGTGGCCTCGCCGTGCGCTGTGGCCCGCCGCCTGGTCCCCGCAGAGGCCCCCACTTCACTCTCGTCCCCGGGAGCCCCGGTTGGCCTGGCCTCCCGCGCCCCCTCCTGGACTCCCCCTCCTTCGTGCCGCTTCTAGATATTTCTCATTGCTCACGTCACCTGGAGGTGCATAGCCTTCCCCGCCCTGGCTTTCTCTTCCCTTCACACTGACATTTTGCAGCAGGTTCTTGAGGCCGCCCAGGAGGGCATCAGGGCAGGCGCGGGGTGAGGCTTGGGTGGGGAGCGCGTAACTAGCGGGTGAGTTTCTCTTTCTGGCCCCTTAAGTGAGTCAGATGAGCTCAAATTGGAGGCACACCCTTCAGGGGCTGTTTACAGAGGAGAGGTTCACACCCTGACTTTAGATTCACGGGGAGAGGAGAGGATGCTCAATTTTGTGCACTTCCAGCCTTCTCTGGTGAGGAGACCCTGTGGAGAATGGTGCAAAAGTTCAGTTTCCCATCTTCGGCCTCCCTTAGTTTTCAAAAAAATTAATAAATCATGGCGGAGAGGGAAACAAAGCCACGGGAAATCCAACCCCAGGGCCACATAGGCTGTGTGTGATGAGAGCAGATAGGTTCTGAGAAAATAAGCGCAATGAGGGTAGCTAACAGGATCCCCGCGTGCAGCGTGGGCCAAACCTAAATTGATGGAGGGTGCCCAGGACGCTTAACTCCTGTGGCCAGCCTGTCTACAGCACTTCTTAGCGGCCTCTGATGCCAGCAGGGACTTAGTCCATCTGGAGCAGGCTAGGCTGTGGACTTCAAGGTTGGAGGAGGGAGCTTTATGTCTGATTCTACACAGCCTCATGCCTGCAGAGGTCACCCTGTGTCTGTGCGCATGTGTGTGGTGGGGGGCCGGAGGAGGGGGAGAAGGGTGTCTTATATTTGTGCTGCAGATCGGAGGGCTGGGAAGCCGGCAGGGCAGTCCAGTTTGATTCAGAGATGAGTAAGCTAGCCAGCTATTGAGATACAAAGGCTTTGCTGCTGGGAAAGACATCCTACTGTGGCACCCTGTGGGTGGGATGGAGCCAATGGGGGCCAGCAAACAAAATGAGGTATTTAAAATACCTTCTTCAAAGCTGCTGGGGAAAACCTTGCTTTCCCACACAAAGATAGTGAGGGCTTTGAATGCCTGAAAGACCATTCTCCAGCAAGAATTTTTCCCTTTCTTAGTGAATTGAAAAGTCCAACCCATCACCTATGGGAGGAACTGAGTTAGAAATCAGATCTGCAAAGACTTAAAAAGAAGATAACCACTGTATTTGAGAACAGAATGTGCAAATAAAAATGTCCTGAATTCATTGAAGCTGTAGATTAGGCTTTTGACAGAGCCAGCTCCCCCAGTCTTAGCAGACCGTGCTGCGAAATCGAAAACGATTTTGAAGTCTGCTCATTAAACTCTTGCTTTAAACACTCCTACACAAAAGAAAATTAAATAGCAGTGGTCCCCTGGAAGTTCAGAGTCCAGATAAAACAATGACCAGGTGACACAGACCAGGGCACAAACAGAAATCACCAAATACACAGTTCTCACTGTCTAAGCAACCACGTGAGAGCCTTGGAACCCTGGAAAATAGCAAGGAGCATCTGGGAATAATTTGGGTGCTGGAAGAAACAATCTCTCTCCCTCTCAGATGACGTACTATGGCAGGGGAATTAAGATTTTACAGCTGGGTGTGCTGTCCTGAAGAATGACTGGCAGGGATCCTGAGTTGAAATGGAGAGAGCATTCTAGAAAGAGAGAGAAGACTGGTTGTGGGCAGCAGTGAGAGGGTTTGCTGTCTGGGATCACATAGGCAAAATTTAGATATCTGAATTTGCTGCTCCAGATCTGCCAACTCTACCCAGTTTTCTTTGTCTTTGGGGATTACATACAACTTCTTCTCTCAAGATACTGCTCCAAAGCAGTGATTCATTCTCTCATCCCCCCCACCCCCACCATTCCTCATTTCCTTTCTTAAATAAGTTCTGGCCATTTTTATGGAAGAAAAAAATTTGCCCATTTACCCATTACTTTTTACCAGTTCGGGCACACTGCAAAGATCACAGAATCCCCCAGACCAGTGATAACCAGTGTACATTCTCTGTAGTATATTCTGCTCACGACACCTAATTCAGCAGTATTGCCACCGCACTGCTGGGCACCAGTTTTGACCCACATGGCATAGCACTTTATTTCGGGTCTCCTCAAGGCCAGACAGTTGATGGCGAGGATGGCCAGTTTTGCTTCGCCTCATCTGTCATCTCCAGATGATACTCCAGCACATACTTTCCACTTTTCCTACCAAATTAGGACCTAGAATTGATGGATTTCTGCGACTTTTTCGTTCTTCTTTTCGGCCACCATCTTCCTGCCCTAGGTGTGGAACAGCCCCCATCCAATGGCACCAAGATGGGTGGGGAGGGAGGTAGACAAAGCAATGATTCGTAATCATTTTAGACCATAGAGCTTTTGAGAACGTATGTAGATCATCTCCCCAGAAATGTAGATAACCATGTTGCTGACCACTCAACTCATTTAGGAGATACTTGCATCCAAGTTAAGAATCCTTGCCCTATTAACTCACTAGCTTTTCTCATTCAACAAATATTTTTGGTATGGGATAAGCCCAGAGCATAAGTGGGATTTCTTTTGGGGCCTCAGAGATCTGTGTTGCGGCTTTCATGAGGTCCTTTCCCAACGAACCCCAAAAAGCATAGAGCTCCTGACCCTGACATTCATATGATCCACCTGCTCAGACAGCAAGAGTGGCTTCACTCCAGTGTGTTTTCTGATATTTGAACGTATTCTAAGTACTTACCTGCTAAGTAAACCTAAGGAAATCTCAGTGGTAGGAATGTTTAATGATGACTACCCAGAGCTTTAAAGCTCCTGAGAAGCTGCTTTAAAAATATTTTTTAATTTGTGATGAATTTTTTGGAGGATTTGTGATGAGATCATTATTGTCAGTCTTTTCTTTCAAGCTCAGTATCTCCATTCATGTTACAAACAACACCTGCTTAGGATGCCAGGTATAAGTCACAATGCACTATTAAACACACACACACACACAATCTTTTCCCCCCACAATGCAGCCTCCGACTAAGGTGCAGTGGCAAATGTTTGGCAAAAAGGAGCTCTCATTTCCATTTTCCAGTGGTCCCCTAGCATAAAAGAGGATGCTTGGGTAATAAAAAATTGGTAGGATGATAGTAATAGGGGCGACTAATGTTTACTTGAGTACAAGGAATGGTGAAAGGTATTTCACAGCTCTGAGGTCACAAAAGCTTACTAAGTTGGCACTGTCGTCATTTCCTTTTTTTACACATGAGAAGATTAGGATACAGAGAGATTAAGTAATTTACCTAAGTGAGATGCTTGTGAGGAGTAGAAACAGGGCTTCTATGTAGCATCGTCTAACTATAAAACCTGTGCTTTCAGCAATCTGTGTCAAACCTGACATCATTCTGATTGACGACAGACAGCAACAAACTTTCTCATAAGTTTCCTGAATTTACAGATAAGTAACTAAAATATCAGCCAGTACACATCTTATATAATCAGCCTAAAGGAGAAAGTAAGTCCAGTGGTTTCAAGGAAGCCACTAAAGGCAGACACGTGACTGCTCCTGCCTGTGTCCAGCCAGCTGTTGGGTGAGTGACAGCCGCTTGGGGCACAGGGAGCCGGAGGGGAGGAGACACAGGGAGGTAAAGTGAGCAGTTTGGAACAGATTTAATGTCGCCTCCACCCAGTAGGGGGCGCCTGGGCCCAGGCCCGCCTCTCCTAGGTGACCCTGACTTGAGGCCTGGGGGTGTAGAAGCAGTTCCGGTTCCATAAAGGGCACAGCACTGCCACGCCTCCTGGGGCAGCACTCAACTGGCTCCTGCCCTGTCCCTGTGGCCAGGGCCTCTGCCTTGGTCCCAGTGTCTGACTCTTGGGTTTGGAGTCAGCTGTAAAATGGGAACAATAATACCAACAACTATATTGGGCTGTTGTTCAGAATTCAAATGTATAAAGTCCTCAAGACAGTTCTTGGCATTTACTGATTACTTGACAAATGTTAGCTGAAGTTATCGTTAAGCAGCCCCATAAGCCAAGAGTTTCCCACACATTACTTAATCTTTAGCCAGCTTTTACAGGGGTGGAAATGAATCTCAGCAAGGTAAAAAGATGCTCTGAGATCACAGAGATAGAAACCAGAGACAGATCTGGTGAGTGGAAAGCCATGGGCCTTTGCTGTCTTCCTTCCTGCCCGCCTTCCTCAGGAGCCAGCCTCTAGACTTCCAGCCAAGCTCTGGTCTTCTCCCTCTTCTCAGCTCACCTGGTCCCTGCAAATGCCTGCCTGCTGCCTGCAGGTCTGGATGCAGCACCCCCCCGTGGTCCCCAGGGCTTTGCTGACCCATCACTCCTGGGGGCCCCATTAATCTCCTGTGTTTGCCCATCTGACAGCAGTGTGTTTGGCCTGACAGAACAATCCCTCTTCTAGTACCTGCTTGAGTTCAGTAAATGGTTCTAATGTCTGGCCTCTCCTCCTTGCTACTCCGTATTTAAATAACTAGAACATAAGCCAGTGGAGGTCGAATACATGAATGCAGAGAACTCTGCATTCCTCTGGCATTTGTATATTTGCATGGTTAGCTATTTGTAAGCCTCTGAATGGCAATGGCAGGGACCATGTCTTAGACAAGTGCCTCTTGAACTTTAAATAAGCATGCAGGTCTCCTGGGATTTCTTAAAATGAAGACTTTAGATGGAATAAAACTGAGGAGGGTCTTGGTATCCTGCAGTTTTACACGCTCCCAGGTAATGTCAGTGGTCTAATGATCACACTTTGAGCAACAAGGTCATACACATCTATCA